CTGTGGATGAGCAGTGCATCTGGTAGAGTGGTCCTGGCGGGCAGTGACAGGGGAAGGAGTGAGCATAAGCGAGGGATGGGTGTGAGTCGTGGCGGTGCAGTGTGAGATGCAGGGGTTTGGGGGGGTAGGGGTTGGAGGGGTGGGAGGGGGTGGGAGGGGAGGTGTGGCCGGTCCTTTGAGGGGGTTGTGTGAGGGGAGGGGGGAGGGGGTGGGAGGTGTGGCCGGTCCTTTGAGGGGGTTGTGTGTGGGGGTGGGGGGGTGGGGGAGGGAGGGGTGAGGTTAGTTGAAGGAAGGGGGAAGGGGGGGGAAGGGGGGAAGGGTAGGTGCAGTGTGAGATGCGGGGTGGGGGATAGGGGTAGGGGGTGGGAGGGGAGGTGTGACCGGTCCTTTGAGGGGGTTGTGTGGGGGGTGGGGGTGGGAAGGGAGGGTTAGTTGAAGAAAGGGGGAAGGGGGGGGGAGGGGGGAAGGGGTGGCGCAGTGTGAGATGCGGGGTGGGGGGGGGTAGGGGTTGGAGGGGTGGGAGGGGAGGTGTGACCAGTCCTTTGAGGGGGTTGTGGGTGTGGGGGGGAGGGGGGGAGGTTAGTTGAAGGAAGGGGGAAGGGGGGGAAGGGGGGAAGGGGGGAAGGGGGCGGCAGGGGTGGCGCAACAAGCGTAACGAGAATACTGAAGTTTTATATTCATTCGGGTTAGATCGCGGGAATAAAACGACAACGTGGGAGAGGAAAAAGGAAAAGAAGAAGGGATAATATAGTGAAGAAGAAAAAGAAGAAGAAGACGAATGTGAAGGAGAAAGAATAATATAGTGAAGAAGAAAAAGAAGAAGAAGACGAATGTGAAGGAGAAAGAATAATATAGTGAAGAAGAAAAATAAGAAGAAGAGGTGGAAGATAAATAATAAGAAAAATAGGAGGAGGAGCAGGAGAAGGGGTGAAAAAAGAGAATGAAAGGGAGAAAGAAAAAAAAAGAAGACAACAAAAGAAGTAAAAAGGAAAACAACAAAAACACAACACAAAAAAACATAAACAACAAGAAACGAGAAGAAAGCAGACACACACACACACACACAGATAGAACCAGATAAGCAAAATAAACAAGAAAAAGACAAAGAAAAGACACAACTGGAGAGCTGTAGACAATATAAATTATGCACACACACCTCTCAGAATAATGTGCAGGCAAGGCAGGTGACTATCAGGGTCTTATCGGTGCAACATTCAACAAACACATTAACAGACGATCAGAGGACACGTGCTGATAAGGCCACCTGTGAGGCTTTCTATTTCTCGTCCCGCTTGTCTTCATTTTTTTTTTTTTGTTTGCGTTTTTTTTTTCTTCTTTTGTTCTTTATTCTTTATTATGTCTGTTAGTTTGTTTGTTTTTTCGTTTGTTTTTTCATTCTTATTTTTTAAGCATTTTTATTTTATCATTTCCATTTCCTCCTCCTCCTTCTCCTTCTTCTTCTACCTTCTTCTTCCTCTTTTTCTTCTTCTTCATCATCTTCTTCTTCTTCTTCTTCTTCTTCTTCATCTTCATCTTCATCTTCATCTTCATCTTCATCTTCATCTTCATCTTCATCTTCATCTTCATCTTCATCTTCATCTTCTCCTCCTCCTCCTCCTTATCCTCTTCCTTCTACCTTCTTCCTCTTTTTCTTCTTTTTCGTCTCCTTCTTCTTCTTCATCTTCATCTTCATCTTCATCTTCATCTTCATCTTCATCTTCATCTTCATCTTCATCTTCATCTTCATCTTCATCTTCATCTTCATCTTCATCTTCATCTTCGTCTTCATCTTAATCTTCATCTTCTTCTCCTTCTCCTTCTCCATCTCCATCTCCTTCTTCTCCTTCTCCTTCTTCTTCTCCTTCTCCTCCTCCTTCTTCCTCTTTGGGTTTTATATCTTTAAATATTTTCCCTTCAACTGCATTGACTTTCCCTCTCTTTGTCTTCCGGATGTCCTGCTATCTATCTTGCATTCCTTTATCGCAATTTCTGCCTTTTTCCACGTTTATTTTTCTTTATTTTTTTCTTCCTTAATTTCCTTGTTTTCCCATTTTCGTCTGGCTTCGTTTTTTATTCTTCCCTTATCTCCGTTTCCCTTTTTTCTTCCTTGCCTTTTTTTCAGACCTTTTTTTTTAGCTATCTATTTATTTATTTATTTATCTATTTATTTGTCTATTTATTTTACTATGCTCCTTCTTTTTGTTTCTCCAAGACATTTTCTTCCTTCTTCCATTTCTTCTTTCTTTTCCTCCCTTGCTGCTACATCCTCTTCCTTCCTTCCTTCCTTCGTTACTTGTCCCTGTCCCCTTTCGTCTCCTCCTTCCTCCTCCTCACCTCCTCCTCCTTCTCCTCCTGTCCTTCTTTCTGCCTCTACTCCTTACCCACTCCTCTTACCTTCCTTCGCTCTCTTTCTCCTTCCCTCCTTCCTTCCTCCTCCTAATCTTCCTTCTTCCCTCCTCCTCCCAATCTTCCTCCTTCTCCCTTCCTCCCTCCCTCCCTTCTTTCCTCCACCTCCTAATCTTCCTCCTTCCTCCCTCCCTTCTTCCTAATCCTCCTTCCTCTCCCTTCCTCTCTTCCTCCGTCCTTTCCTCCTCCTCCTAATCTTCTTCTTCCTCCTCTCTAATCCTCCTCCTTCTCTCTCTCCTTGGCTGCCCCCTTTCCTCCTCCCTCCCTCTTCCTAATCCTCTCCTTCCATCCCTCCATCCCTCTCCTACCTCCTCCCTCCCTCCCTCCTCCTATTCCTCTCCCTCTCCCTCTCCTTCCTTCCCTCCTTCCCTCCTCCCTTCCTCCTCCTAATCCTCCCCCTCTCCCTCCTCCTATTCCTCTCCCTCTCCCTCTCCTTCCCTCCTCCCTTCCTTCTCCTAATCCTCCTCCTCTCCCTCCTCCTAATCCTCACCCTCTCCCTTTCCTTCCCTCCTACCCTCTCCCTCTCCCTCTCCATCCCTCCCTCTCCCTCTCTCCCTCTCCCCCTCTCCCCCCTCCCCCCTCGGCCTTTGGACCTTTTCCAGCCATCTCCCCCCCCCCAATGCCCGCCTCACACCCCCCCTTCCCCCCCATCGAGGAGCCCGCCAAAAATTTCTTCTCGCATACTGATTGATTGAGAGTAAAGGGAGGGCGCGGAAGGATGGCATTGGATGGTGCAAAGTTGCAAAGTTGAGGTCAGATCGTTGCAGAAAAAAAAGAAAAAAAAATGGAGGAGGAGGAAAAGAAGCAGGAGTTGAAGACTTGATCGTTTCGGGAAAGAGGAGAGAAGGAGAAGGAGAAGGAGAAGGAGGAGGAGGAGGAGAAGGTGTCGGGAGATTATATCGCCCTTGACGAAGAAGAAGAATGAGAAGAAAAGAAGAAGAAGAAGGGGAAGAAGAAGAAAAAAGCTTGAATATTAGACCGAGTCCCAGAAAAAAGACAAAGAAGAAGAGGAAAAAAAAGAAGACGACACAGAAAGAAGGAGAGGAAGAAAAAAAAACAAGCAAAGAGAAGATTAGATCGTCCAATAAAAAAATAAAAAGTTCTAGATTTCTAGAATCTAAAAAAAAAATCATAATCAAAGTTGATGGGTAGATAGAAGTTGAACGTAGATCCTTCCAAGAAAAAAAGTTGAATATTAGATCCTTCCAGTAAAAGCAGCAAGAACTTGAAGGTTAGATCGTTTCAGAATTTTAAAAAATAATAATAATAATAAAAAATAAGAAGTTGAAAATTAGGTCGTTCTAGGAAAAAAAGGAGAAACTCGACTAAGAAGCAGCATTTGAAGGCTTGATTGTTCCAGAAAAAAATAATAAGGTTAGATAATCCTAGAAAAGAATTGAAATTTTGATCGTTCTAAAGTAGAAAGAGAAAAAAAAAGAAGTTGAAATTTTGGTCGTTCTAAAATAGAAAGAGAGAAAAAAAAATAAGCTGAATTTTTTATTGTTCTAGAATAGGAAGAGAAAAAAATGAGCTGATTTTTTTATCGTTCTAAACTAGGAAGAAAAAAAATGGGTGGTTCTAAAATAGAAAGAAAAAAAGGAAGTTGGAGGTTAGATCGTTCCAGGAAAAAACGACGACGAAAAAGCAAAATTAGTTGATCGCGAAAGGAAAATGGGAAGAGAGGAAGACAAGAAGAGGAAGAAATCGAAAGCAAAAATGAATGATGAATAGAAGCTGAAGCCTAGATCGTTGTAAGAAAAAGAAATAGAAGATAAGAAGAATAAAAGAGGAAGAAAGGGAAGAAGAACACGAAAGCAACGTTGAAGATTAGACTACAACAAAAATAGGAAGGGAAAAAGGAAGAAACGAGTGAACTCATCAGCTACCACTTTCTATCCACCTATTATTTCATTTTCCGTCGTTTTCTACCTGCCCCTCCTCCCTCCCTCCCTCCCTCCCTCTCTCTCTCTCTCCCTCTCTCTTTTTCCCTCCCGCTGATGGAATTGAGCGATCCTCCCTGAGCACGCAGCCCCTCGACGAAGCAGCCCATGCAATAGCTTTTAAGGGGGTATTGCGGTTTCCTAATAGAGGGCTGAGTGGTTACGATGATCTCTTCCGGCAAAGTTATCGTTCGGTTGCCCGCCGTGCGTTAGGTTAAGGATGGGATGCACCCGCGATTACTTCGGAGTATTTGGGGTCGCTGTAATGCAATTCCGGGTAATGATCATGTCGCTGTACGGTAATTTCTAGATAATGCTCTGACGCGACGCGCGCCGGTTTATGGCGGCCTCATAATGTGACAATGCCTCTCCGGCCGCACGCGGTAATAGCGCGACTAATGCGATCTGATGCGGGGATCACGAGGCTATGAGTCTCGCTTATGGTTGAATTACGACTCGGCGAGACTCACGCTACGCCGAGGTTACGGTGTGCTACTTCAAAGGGCGTGCTGTGGTTTGGTTGGCTAACTATCTGGTTACATTGGCCTTTGGGGACGATGAAAGCCTTCCAGTAGATTAGCTATGGAAATGTAAAGCAGTTCAGAGAGGTAGGGACTCCCAAATGCTGCTCTTTCCCATAAAAAAAACTATTTG